ACCAACCAGTTTGTCCTGACCCTCCCAGAAAGTTCAAGAACCTTAAGCATTTCCTGAAGCAAAGGGCAGGGCTATGTTCAGGCCGCATGCTGAGGGCAGCGGTACTGATGATCAAAATGTTAAATAATCTTCACCACCGAGAAGGGGCCTGGGTACCACCCTGGATCCATCCATCCCTAACCTCCCTGTGACCCAGCAACCGAAGGGCCCGAGGGGACTCCAGGCTCCGCACCTGGCTGCAGCCACATTTATTCTGAGCTGGTCACCATGACAACTGTGAAATACTTCCCTTACCTGATGTAACTTAGGGAGTAGACAAGGTGTGCCAAGAATGTGGGTAACCTGATTCCTGGTGAGGCATCTCCAAGCTGCCCTCCTGACCTGCCTTCTCTTCGTTTGGTAGAGCCGAGCAGGGTCCCACTTGCATGGTGTTTCATCCCCTGGCCGGAAGTCCCTCCAAGGCCAAACTCACTTGACTGCTCAGTATGGACCTCAAGGTGAGGGGCATGGGAAGTGGCTCGGGGGTCGGTCTGGTGAGAAAAAATAGGCTCTTCCCCCACTCACAGGGTAACACCACCACAGGCCATTGGGTGGGCCTAGTTGCTGTTCCACAAATGGCTTGCAATGGTTCCCTCTTACCTCTCAAATCAAATTTCAACTCTGTAGCTACCATTTTAGAAAGAAACTTGGTGTGAGAAAGGTCATGTGACCTGCTCAAGGTCTTGGTGCTGGGAAGACAGGGCTGGACTGTGTCTTGAAAGCAAATCCTTGGCTGGCGCCGTGGCTCACTAGGCTAATCCTCCGCCTGCGGCGCTGGCACCCCGGTTTCTAGTCCCGATCGGGGCACTGGTTCTGTCCTGGCTGCTCCTCTTACAGTCCAGCTCTCTGCTGTGGCCCGGGAGTGCAGTGGAGGATGGCCCAAGTGCTTGGGCCCTGCACCTGAATGGGAGACCAGGAGAGGCACCTGGCTCCTGGCTTCGGATCGGTGCAGCGCGCCAGCCGCAACGCACCGGCCGTAGCAGCCATTTGGGGGGTGAACCAATGGAAAAAGGAAGACCCTTCTGTCTCTCTCTCTAACTCTGCCTGTAAAAAAAAAAAAAAAAAAACGGCAGCCAATCCTGTTGTGACATGCAGTCAGTCCTCTGGCCAGGCAGTCCATGTTTGTGATAGGGCACGGTGTCCAGAGTGCCAACTTCTATCTTCTGCAGGGGTGGCTGCCAAAGACCATCATCAACCAGGTCCTATCTCAGACCCAGGTGGACTTTGCCAACCACCTGCGCAAGCATCTGGAGTCCAGCTCTGCCTCTAAAGCCAGGTGTTGAAGACCAGCTTGCTGCTCCCAGCTGTGCCACACCTCAAGGCTTGCGCGCGCACTGGAGACCCCTGCTGCCAGCCAGCAGGCCCGTCCAGGATCTCAGCTGACAGCAGTGGGACAACAGTGTGTAGAGATGACACAGGGATTCAGACTGGTCCAAGTTTAGTAGCAAGAAAAAATCAGGGATGGACCTCTAAGGTGGAGGAAGCCTTATGATTTCATTCAACCACAAGCTGTGAATGAGGGCCAAGGTTACTAAAATATTTGTAACTTTTTCCCCCTGGGTACTTACCTGATAGTATCTTAAAAATGCTAGTGGCCGATATGGGTGTGGTGATGCTAGGGACAGGGGCTGAGCACTCCTGCTCTATGGGCTCATGAGTTCCCATCCCCCGGCAGGGAGCAGCAACCCTCTACTCTCCCACCACACGCATATAGCCAACCCCCAAGAACGAGCAATTACCCAGTTCTGTGTATTTCAGGTGTTTCCCACATAAAAACACAAAACTATTTTCCAAGCTGGTTTCTCCTTCTCCACAAGCACTTAGAATCAACTAACACAAAGCTTCATTCAGTCTGCACCTGTTCTAAAACTTTTTGTAAGAGAAAACTCTGAGATTTCAAATTCATGTTAGAGAAGTCCTGGGCAAAGATTTCTAAATAGTTAAACTAAATCCCCCCCACCCCGGTTCATTAAAAGAAGAGAAACTACTGGGGATTTATATCATTCAATAAATTAGAACCTGTTATCAGAATTTCCATTAAAAACTTAAGTTCTTACAGAACTCTGTAATGAGCTAAGTAATTGGCTTTGAAAGATGCAGATTATCACTGAGGATTTTTATGTACCTAATTAGAAAGCATGGGGGGTGGTGGCACAGTGGTCACACTGCCCCTTCAGAAGCCACGTGTCCTGGCTGGGACTCGAGTCCTGGCTACCGGCTTCCTGATGTGCACCCTGGGAGACAGCAGTCGATGGCTCCAGTACTTGGTCCCTGCCACTCGCATGGGAGATCTGGAGCTCTGGCTCCGGGCTTGGTCTGGCCTAACCACGGCTATTGTGGGCATTTGGGGACTGAACAAACAGATGGAAGATCTGTCTGCCTTTCAAACAAAATGAAAATACATAAACCTTTTTTTTTTTTTTTAAAGGTAGTACCAAATATGGGAGTAGAATTCCATAGCTGCCAACTTGGCTTAGGACTTCTTTGCTTGCAAAGGCTCAGATATTTCTATTTTGAGAGGAAGTGGCTGGTTGGAGGGGCAAAGGGAGACAGCAAATTCCGGTCCAGGACTCGGGGACATCATGCTTGAAGTAGGTAAACTGGAATGGGATTACTTTGTTGAAATACATAAGCAGGACGGGAATCACTGTTACCACCTAAAGCTTTTCCAGCTTTGTTTTGTTAGCAGTGGTTTCTGTACTCTTTGGACAGAGAGCTCTAGCTTATTTATTGAACGAAATAGCAGTGGTGGAAACACTGGTATTTATTGAGGTACTACAATTTTACAAGTGATAGAAGTATTTATCATAATTTATTCTTGTTTCTTAGTTTCCTTTTGGTATGGATAGAATTGTTTATTCAAAAGTTTCAGGGGGAGACACGATGGTTACAAAGAAGTTTTTAAAATGTCCACTACCAACTGAGAGAAAATGGCTACTTGTTTACAGCGATGTGAAAGCAGCAGATACTCTCATTTCAAGAGAAAAACGGGATAATAAATAAAGAGGCTTCCAACAAACACCAAGGTTTTGAGTTGGATTCTCATTTGCTGCCTTCAAACCATGTATTATGTCTCTGTGGTGTCTGGGGAGAGATTTTCCCAGCTGCTGTTTTTCACTGGAATAAAACAAGGTGTCACTGACGACCAGACTATGTGGAGAGTAGGTATTCTTTGAGCCCTTCAGATGAACCTGCTTAGCAAACGCTCACACTCTTTTCAAGTATTAACCAGAAAATCTTTTCTGTGACCTCCAAGTTATGAAGGCCAGCTATGCTGAGACGGAGTGGGTACGGAAAGGAACGCCATTTTCCTGGGAGTCCCTCCTGCTGCGATGACCTAACAGCCTCCCACCGAGGTGGGCCCTGTAGGACGGGCTCCCAAGTCAACAGGTGTCTAGGGAGTGACAGGCTGAGACTCCAGCCTACAGCTCCACCGGTCCCATGCCCCCTTTCCCGGTAGGAGACACGGAATGGGCAAATCCGAGTTTAAGGAACTCAGCAGGGGACAAATGTATCAAGTCAGCATGACCAGAAGATACCAACACTCACTTGAAATTTGGGTAACTTTTTAGACTGGGAACTCAGACATCCATCAGAGTCACATGGGTAACACATGTGGACACTGCAGGGACCCAGCGCTAACTTGCGTCAGTCACGAGCAGCAGTGTCGCTGAGGCAGGCCTGGGGGGGCCACATTTTGCCATGAGATCAGCGTGTTTAAAAGGGGAGCTGGCGAAGCTCCAGAGGGACCCAAGGGGAGGCGGATCATTCTCACATCCCAGCATTTAGTGGTCTGAACGCTGCCCTTCAGTCGTGGGCTATTAGAAAGGAAGACAGGCAGGCGGGGAGACACCCTGCACGCAGCAATGCCTTGGCTGGGAGAGGGGCGGGGCGAGAGCGTTGGTCCTTTAAACCCTCCTGAGGCTGCGGCTTTGGCTGGAGAAGAGGCCAAGGGGGAGGGCCTGAGATTCCGGCCCGAGACGCGTCTCTCCCTTCCAGCGCCGGCTCCCCTTCCTCACACCGCCCCGACCTCCAGGGAATCCGAGGGCTGCACAAACTCGAGAACAAGTTTGTTGGGGAAGGGTTTCTGTTAAAGTGGAAGCGAGTCCCTGTCACAATTACAGCTCTGGAGACCTAGTCGTGTCAGAGGTCCCAGTGTTCACAATTAATAGCAAAACCAAACTCACGCAGAGGGTGACAGTCCTCAGACTGCTCCGGAAGGTACAGCCACCGATTTCAGCTGTCCTCGGAAGCAGGCCCTCCCCTGAGGAGAAGTCAGGTGGGGTGGAGTGGAGTCAATGCCCACGGAAGACGCGTCTTCAGATAACTTAGCTACTCGGACGAGATTATGCACACCTTGGAAAATCCAGTGAGGGAACGAGTCCCTGCGGCGGGGGATGTGGCACAGCACCAGTCCCACAGGGAGCGTACGGGGTCCTGGGGTCAGCGGCTGTCGGTGTATGGCACACAGAGGAAGAGCAGTCACTGGAAGCGGGGGACGGGATGCGTGAGGGCAGGGGGTGTCCCGCAGGCCCACCCAGCCTTCCACCTTGCTGAAGGGTGAGGCCGTGTTCTGCGGCAGCTTACGGGAACACTGGGCACAGGTAAAAAGCAAAAACCAAAGCCCTAGTCTTCTCCCCCAGAAAGTCCATGTCCGAAAACAGAGGGGCCGGTCAGGGTTCCCACGGGGGACTCCGCCTGCCGTCCACTTCTGTCTCCACATGATACAAGACGTCGGCCAGGGTGTGCTCTACCACAGCGCCCCAGCCTGTGTCACTCATCTGTAGGAGGAACGGGAAACAGGGGGTCAGCAAAACCACAGCGAGAACCCAAGACACGGAGGGTGCAGTACAGGCGGGCATGGCAACGCTACTCACGGGGCGGCAAGTGAGGTCTTTGGGAGGATACTTGAAGCACGGCCCGAAGTTAATGGAGACCTGGGATAAATTCAATCCAAGGAGACATGAAAAAAAAAAAAAAAGAGGCTATGGAAAAAGTTAAGCTGACACTGAATCTTCATTTGCAATGACACTCAATCTTCATTTGCAATGACACACAAGACATAACTAGAACGAAGTATACACCACTGCTAACAGTGGTCAACGTCCTCAGGTCCAGTGGGAACTGGGCAAATAAAACACGCCTGTGCTGATCTCCTTCTGGAAGCCAAAGACTTCCTGACATTGCCTTCCTCAGTGGCGGCTGCTGACTAAAACCACTAAGAAATCCTCATGCATTGACTTTTCAATCAGCTTTAGAAACAAATGAACAAAGAAACCCAAATAGGCCCTCATGAGAATCTTCTTCTTCAAGCTGGATGATACTAAAAAAAAGAAAGATCAGTGTAAGCAACAGTTAGGTTACAGTGACACACAGCCCCATAATGATGAATGTGGGGTCTTCAAAAAGTTCATGGAAAAAGTATATTATGAAATAGTTATACATGGAGCTTAAATTTTTAACAAAAATTAAATTTTGTCCTTTCCTTTTTTTTTTTTTTTAAAGATTTGAAAGTCAAAGTTACAGAGAGGTAGAGACAGAGAGAGACCTCTTTCATTTGCTGGTTCATTCCCTAGATGGCCAAAATGGCCAGGACTGGGCCAGGCAGAAGTCAGGAGCCAGGAGCTTCTTTCAGGTCTCCTACAGGGGTGGCAGGGGCCCAAGCACTTGGGCCATCTTCTGCTGGTTTTCCTAGGGCATCAGCAGGGAGCTGGATGGAAGTAGAGCAGCCGGGACAGGAACTGCTGCCCGTATGGGCTCTGTATCCTTCATACAGAATACCACCCCCAGTGAATTCAAAGGAAAACTGTGGTGCATACTAACCGCATGAACTCTGCCCATGCAAACACCTTGCTCAAAGCCCACGTGTTCTCGGGCCAAACCGAAACATGTGCCCACGTCTCTCTGGGGCTCTTCCAACGCTCTCAGCCAGCCTCTCCTGCAACCCCACCCCTTCCTTCTGCGCGATGCCCGAGTCACAGGATGAACACAGGAAACGTACCATGCAGCTCTTGTACAGTGAGATGGCTGGGAAGTAAACCCCCTCAAAAATATCTTTGTAAGCCACACCTTGATTGGCACCATTTTTATAAAATATTATTTGAAACAAAAACCATGGTTCTACTTCAGAATTTAAAAAACAGAACAAACAAGACAGAGGCCTCACTTGGAGAACACTGCACACTGCCCCCACGACACTGGGAATAATGCATTCAAACAACAACGCAGTGGAAATCTTATGGCCAGTGATATCTCAAATGTACAGTAACACTTTAGATTTTTCAAAGTAATTCCACATGCGCTATTCCAGTTAGCTTTGGGTTTCTACTTGCTTTCTGGCTTCCTGTACCACATACGCTAAAGAGTTCTACGTTCTCATAGTTCATAAACGGTAGCTGGCCTTCCATGAACCCCTTGGAACTACACTTGTTTAAGTTTTCTCATTTATTCCTTCCTCTTGCATTGGGTTCTTTTATATATTTATTTATTTATTATTTTATTTGAAAGGCAGAGAAACAGATTTTTCATCTGCTGGTTCACTCCCTAAATGCCTGTAACAGCTGGGCTGGACCACGAGCCAAGAACCCCATCCAAGGTGGCAGGGACCCAAGTGAGTGAGCTGCCCGCTAGGGTGCTCATTAGTAGGAAGCTGGATTGGAAACGGAACCGTGACTCAAACCAGGCACTGATATGGCATGCAGGTGTCCCAAGTGGTGACTTACGTGCTGTGCCAAATGCCCACCACAGTTCTTAAAAACAACACATTTATTTATTTGAGTGGCAGAGGGAGAGAGATCAATCCCAACCAAATGTGGCTGGGCTGAAGCCACGAGATGGGAACTCAGTCCAAGTCCCCCCAGTCATTTGCGCCATCATCACTGCTGCCTCCCGGGGTCTGCCTTATCTGGAATTTGAGTGAGGAGCTGCAGCAGGTTACTGAACCCAGATATCCTGACACGGGTGCAGGCATCTAAGCCAGAAGGCCGAACCTGCCCCAGGATCCGACGTCTGCTTTTCTACTTTCAAGTTCTCTCAATCTTTCGTCCTGTCTCATAAATATCTACTTGTAGGGGCTTCAGAAAGGCCCCTTTCCCTTCCCAACAGAAGCTATCTTCTCCCTGGTTTACTTCTTGGCCATGTCATCCCTTCAGCATATTTTTTCCTAAAAACAACTGGAATTCCAGTTTATTTCCACACTCTCCTCCATCCCGGTCCCAGGGGGCTTTATGGTATTTTCAAGGACAAATGTTTTCAGCTCAGGACTTTCTTCCTCCTCCCCGCTCCCTGTTCACTTTCAGCGCTGTGCCTGGAGCAGATGGACTGGCCCATCTCTGCTTGTGTAAGACCCCGTGCACACAAGCTCCCAGTGACCCTACGAGGGGGAGCAAAGTGCTGATGGGAGCTGGGTAGCCCCTGGGCACCCCAGCAGCTCCCCCACCTCCTGGAGACGTCCTTCTCAGGTGGTCTGTAGCCTTTTTCTAAGTGCTGCCCCGTAACCGTGGTGTGACAGAGACCCTTCCACTCGCACGGGGTCTCACTCCCCTCTCTTCATACCCAGGGAGTGGACCCCAGCCTGCCGCAGTTTTCATGACCATGACTTACCTCACTATGGAGAGTCTGCTTTAGGCTCTTCTCTATTTATCCACGAAGTCTTTCTCCTCAAAATAGTAACTCTTGAACTTGATCAAAGCCTTGAAAATCGAGAAGGGGGCAGGGGAAAGGCACACTGAGAAACCAGTTCATCTTCACGGAGAAGGGGTAAGCTGGCCCCAAAAGCACTGAGCCTCGGGCTGTGTGACACACATCAAACTGGTTTGCAGTCTATGCTGCTGGATTCTGAACTATTACGTGCTTCTTAAAACACCATGCTCACTAAACATTTTCAAAAAAGGTCCTTAGAGAGAAAATACACATGCCCTCTCATCACGACAAAGATTCTCACAAAAGTGGCTAGATTAATTGAATTTTCAGTAACTGCAGTGAAAGAAATGACAAGCCTACGGAGCTGGGCCAATCCGAAGCCACGAGCCTGGGACTTCTGGGTCTCCCACGCCGGTGCAGGGGCCCAAGGACTTAGGCCATCTTCTACTGCTTTCCCAGACCAAGCAGAGAGCTGGATCAGAAGAGGAGCATCCAGGACATGAACTGGCACCCACATGGGATGCCAGCAGAGGCTTATCCCACTACACCACAGCGCTAGCCCCTAAAATCCCTTATTCTACAAAAACATTTTGAGGCTTTTCTTTCCTCCTAGTTTCTAGTAGTCTCTGGTTCAATACTTACATACTGATGGGTCCCGAGAGTCTAACTATTCACTCCCAGATAAATACATTGCATTTATTCTTTAAAATTTAATTTCTTATCATATACATTAAGCATGGAAATAAAATATACAAGTATATACAGAAATATTTATATACACATTTATGTAATATATAACAATGCATAATATATAATATATATAAAATATATATTTACAATGAAGAGTATCTCCCTCCTTCTCCCACCATCTCACCCAAGTTTCCCTTGCAAAAAATAATCAAAAAGTATCTTGGAATCCTTCCAAAGAACCTAAACATATATTAATATCTTAAAAATCAGGGGCTGGCATTGTGGTGTAGTGGGTTAAGCTACTGCCTGCGGGCACCGGCATCCCATATGGGTGCAGGTAGTGTCCTGGCTGCTGCTCTTCCAATCCAGCTTCCTGCAAATTGCCTGGGAAAGCAGCAGAAGATGGCCAAAGTGCTTGGCCCCCTGCACCAATATGTGGGAGACCCAGAAGAAGCTCCTGGATTTGGTCTGGCCCAGCCCAGGTTTTGTGGCCATTTGGAGTAAACCAGTGGATGGAAAAACTCTCTCTAACTCTGCCTTTCAAGTAAATGAAATAAATCTCAAAAAATAAATAAATAGATAACAAAATTAGGGGCTCACATCATGGCACAGCAAGTTAAGCTGCTGCTGTGATGCCAGCTTTCCACATGGAACACTAGTTCAAGTCTTGGCTGCTCCACTTCTGATCCGGCTTTCTGATGGCCCACGTGCTTGGGCCCCTGTTATCCATGTGGGAGACTTGGATGGAGTTCTCGGCTCCTGGCTTAGGTCTGGTGCAGCCCCAACTGAGGCAGCCATTTGGAGAGTGAACCAGCAGGTGGAAAATCTCTCTTTGTTGTCACTCTGCCTTTCAAATGAATAAATGAATCTTAAACCACATACACAAAAACATACCAGTTAAACACATAAACAAGCCACATAAACAGCAACATACAGAAACTTTGTTTAGCACCTTTAAGGTTTATTTTTATTTATTTGAAAGGCAGAGAGAAAGAGAGAGGGAGAGAGAAATGGACAGGGATAATGGAGGGATCTTCCATCCAACGGTTCACTTCCCAAGCAGAGGCAATGGCTGGGGCTGGGCCAGGCTGAAACCTGGAGCCTGGAACTCCATCCACGTCTCCCATGTGGGTAGCAGAAGCCCAAGTACTTTACCCTTCACTTGCTGCCTCCCAGGTGTGATGGCAGGAAGCTGGATCAGCAGCAGAGCAGTGAGAACTGGAACAGGCGCTACCTGCGCCACAGGTGTGAACACGTGTGGCAGGCATGGAAGGGCTCCAAGTGGCAGGTGGTGAGATGAGAGTCAACTGTGTGGTGCATGCACTGAAGTGAGATCTCCGTCTGCTTGTTATCAGAATAAACGCAGAGGACCTCCACTATTCAAAACTTGCTCTAGAGCTACAATGACCAAGACACTGTGGTACTGGCATAAAGGACACACACATCAATGGAACCAGGAGCCCAGAATAAATCTCTACTTAAGACAGTTATTTGCTTTTCACTTAAAGGCACCAAAGAAATCCAGCAGAGAAAGGAGAGTTTAACAAATGGCACTGGAATAACTGGATATTCATATGGAAAAAATTAACTTGGAACTCCACACTGACACAGAAAATTAAATCAAGGTGGAACAGAGACCTAACTGTAAAAGCTACAACCACGATGTCTTCAAAATAAACCATAAAATAAGGGAGAATATGGCTTGAGGGTACCCAAAGGTTTTTTAATTCACAGGAAGAAATATATCTATAAAAAAGAAAAATCTGGTAAGTTAGACTCCATAAAAATTAAAGCTTCAGTTTATCAGAAGATACTACTAATAAAACAGACAAGTCAGAGACTAGGAGAAAAATACCATATCTAATTACCCCATGGTCTACTGACTTCATTTCTGTATATTGACTCAAAAGAAATGAAAACATGTTTACATTTAATTCTCAGCCTTGTAAACAGAATGAAAATAAATGAAAAATAAAAAAAGACAATTGTACAAGAATGCTTATAGCATCTCTATATTTTTTAAAAAAGATTTATTTACCTATCTGAGAGGCAGAGTTACAGAAAGGGAGAGCCAGAGAAGTCCTCTACTGGCCCACTCCCCAAATGGCTGCAACAGTCAGAGCTGAGCCGATCTGAAGCCAGGAGCCCGGTGACTTTTCCCAGTCTCCCCTGTGGGTGCAGGGGCCCAAGCACCTGGGCCATCCTCCACTGCTTTCCCAAATCATAGCAGAGAGAGCTGATCAGAAGAGGAACAGCTGGGACTTGAACCTGTTGCCCAAATAGGATGCTAGCACTGCAGGCAGCGTCTTCTAAGCCACAGCACCGGGCCTGATGAATGGGTTTTCTAGATAACTAAGCTGTGTGTAGAGATGAGAAAACAAGCTAAGGGATGAGGGAGACAAACCTGCATAGGCAACTTTGTCTGGAACAGAGGATTTGTCAAGAAAAGGATAAAAATAAAGCTTGAAAAGCAGCAATCACAAGAGGACCTTACATGCTAGGCAGAACTGGACATTTTCTGTAGGAGCTAAAGGGATAAATATCTGGTGGGATGGGTCTGATGGGAGAAGATATGAAAAAGTGAATATGTAAAGAGGCTTTTGAAGCTCCAGGGGGCCTCAGAGTGACAGCACTAAAAATGCAAACAAGAAGGGAAGTAGTAAATCTTGGAGCCATATGAGAGCCAAGAGGTGCAGGAGTGAAAGGTGTTCCAACCCCTCACCACCAGCTGTAGCCTCAGGAGGGAATCTACCAGGCGGGTCTGGAGACAAAGACCTGCCTGTCTTAAGGCAGAGAGGGAGAAGCCAGTGGAAGAGGGGGCACTGAGTAAGGCAGCAATGGCCAACTCAATGCACGAGAACAGCCACTGTGGCAACCATGCCAGGGCCGGGGAAGCGCAAGGAGAGCTTTGCAAAAGAGAAAGGAACAGGGAAAAGACCTTCAGGATAAACAGGCCCAGCAGGGAGAGAAGAAATAAATAAAGGCAGGCTGGGGGCCGGTGCTTTGGCACAGCAGGTTAAAGTCCCGTCCTGCAGTACCGGCATCCCATATGGGCACAGGTTGGAGTCCCGGCTGTACCACTTTTCTGATCCAGCTCCCTGCTGATGCGCCTAGGAAAGCAGCAGAAGAAGGCCCAAGTCCTTGGGCCCCTGCACCCACGAGGGAGACCCAGAAGAAGCTTTGGCTCCTGGCTTCAGACTGGCCCAGCTCCGACCACTGTGGCAATCTGGGGAGTGAACCAGTGGATGGAAGACCTCTCTCAAGCTCTGTCTCTACTTCTGTTTGTAACTCTGTCAAATAAATAAAATAAATCCCCCCCCCCCCTTTTTTTTTGACAGGCAGAGTGGACAGTGAGAGAGAGAGAGAGATGGAGAGAAAGGTCTTCCTTTTTGCCGTTGGTTCACCCTCCAATGGCCGCCGCGGCCAGCACACCACGCTGATCCAATGGCAGGAGCCAGGTGCTTCTCCTGGTCTCCCATGGGGTGCAGGGCCCAAGCACTTGGGCCATCCTCCACTGCACTCCTGGGCCACAGCAGAGAGCTGGCCTGGAAGAGGGGCAACCGGGACAGAATCCGGTGCCCTGACCGGGACTAGAACCCGGTGTGCCGGCGCCACAAGGCGGAGGATTAGCCTAGTGAGCCGCGGCGCCGGCTTAAAATAAATCTAAAAAAAAAAAAAAGAAAAAGAAAAAAAAGGCAGGTTAATCTCAGACTCAACTGAAACGAGCTTAGGGAATCCTCAAAGAGAAGTTTCCCAAGTAAGTGCTTTCAGCCCATGGCCACCACACAAGGAAGCAAGAAGCATCCAACACATCGTTAACACTAAGTTCCCTTACCCTTGCCTCTGCTAGAACCTCAGGAGTTACACTGCTGGGATAAACTCACTCAGAGAGGGCAAAGCCTTGTGGGGAAGACAGGTAGATGCACAGAATTCAACTACAACTGGGTGTGCAGAACAAGCAGCTCCTGTGGTCTATCTCAGCCCTAAAAGACAATCAGCCCCTCCCACCCGGCTGGGCTTCAGGTGTCACTTCTCAAGTTAAGGGACACATGGGTCTCCCCAAAGCTACCAAAACTCTTGAGCTGAGTTGGACTCTTCCCCGAATTCCTCCCAGTTCTCTCCAGTCAAGTCTCTCTCCTAGGCTCCATCCAGGCAAATTCCTGCACATCTTTACCAAGACCAATTCTTTTCTCCATTTCTCAGTATTCTCTTTCTTTAAAAACAAATCCTCTATCTAGGGTGACCAGACACATGCTAATTGGGATATCAGCATTTCTAAGACCCACTTCAACTTTTAAAAGGGAGGTATTTCTTCATTGCCCTGCTGAGGGACCCTCTTATTTGTTAGTTTAATCAGACCCTGAAGAACACTGCAGGCCTTTCCAGGAGTGCATGCCAGCTGTGGACCACGTCCCCAGGACAAGGAACAAGGCCTTTGTTTTCAGGATCTTAATTCACCGGAAGAGGTACCTGAGGGAAACAGTCTTTGCCGAGACAGCTAAAGCAAACCTTTCCTCCTGCCAAGGGCTGTGTAGATATTTAGAACATCACCTGCGGGCCACACACAACCATCAGCTTCATTAGGTCGGAGCCCTAGGGAAGTGCGCGATCTATGGAGGGAACGGAAACAGCTCCTGACCCAGCGCCCTACTCACCGAACGGGGGTTAGGACACGGTTAATACTGTGCGTGTATTCTGCCTGCACACCCTTCGACGGGTGCACACGCTGAGATTCACTCTACAGAGATTCTTACAAGACGACAAAATAAAAAGAGAGCACTCACGAAGCGTCGATGCCGGAGGTCTCCGCCGTGAGCCATTTCGCACAGATGCCACACTGCAGCTCCACGTCCCCCAGCTGCCGGCAGTTCTCGACCACCGAGCCCGTCTGCACGTCCATCACCTCCGACGTGTCCCCGGCGCCGTCCTGTGCCCACAGAGCAAGCCGAGAACCAAAGTGGCGCACCTGGCTGTGCTGCTGCTGCTGCCTCCCTTAACATTCTTGAAGACAAATCCTACTCTGCCGGCAGACATCCAAAAGAGAAACACTTACTAGTGTATCCTTCCCATTCGCGGACTCCATCTCTAAACCGCCGCTTATACCCGCCAAGCTGGCATCCCCGAGACAACGAAGACACACAAGCAAGGCTTGTCAGGGCAGACAGACCTCACACAAAATAACCAATGCACGGAGCGCCGCCACAGCTTTTTCTGCCGGGCTACGGTCTGGGCACCATGGACCGGGTGTCCAAGGAGACCGCGAGCCCGCGGCAGCGGGGACGCCTCCGGGCCCCGGCGCTCAGGTCTGCACGAGCTAGCGCCGGACCTGGAAGAGGTGCACAGGACGCAGCGCCCCGGGTCTCAGAGGGGCCGCTCCTTCTCCCAGGGTGGCGCCCGAGACTCCTGCTACCGAGAGCGACGTGCAAGCCTCCTCCCGAGGCGCCAGCACCTTGGCTCTCGCGCGGCCTCGGACGCGGTCGGAGGAGGCAGGACGAGCCGGGCCGTTGGCCGCAGGCCTAGGTTCGGTTCGGAGGGGCGGGCGGGAGCCGCGGGATTCCAAGGGGGGCGGGCCTCCCCTCGCGCGTCCTCCTCGGGGCCGCGGGACGCCTTACCCACTCTCAGCTTCTCCCGAGCTGGGCTCCGCCGCGGGAGCAGCCGACGTCCCCTCTCCAGCCGGAGCGGCTGCTACTGGTGCCGCCGGCTTCGTCTCTCCGTCTTCTGCAGCTGCTGCATTTGCAGCCGCTCCCGGGCCGGGCCCGGCACCTGCTCCCGGGCTGGGTCCAGTTCCCGCCGCCGCCATGCCTGCCGCCTTCCGGACTTCTCGCGAGAACACACCCTCCGTCTCGCGCAAGTTGCGGCCCGGCGCCGTAGTCTTCAAACGGCCAAGGCCCAGGGTGGGGCCTCCGCCTGTCTGAGGAGTACGCGCTCGGGGCCCGCCCGCTTTAAGGCCGGGAGGGCGGGGCTGCGGTGACCGCCGGTTGCGCCCGTTGAGGGCGGAGCGGGCTTGACTGACAGTTACTTCTCCGCGTCGGGAACGGACGCTGCGAGTTTCTGTGGCTAAGAGTGGCAGTCACGGCGCGGACGAAGGGCCGTGGCCGCGGTCCCCTCCCTGACCTGTAGGGAACGTCTTCCAGAGAGACCGGTGCTCGCTGCGTCCGTTTGGTCGGCTGCCAACGAGCGCGTTTACACGGTCCGCAGAGGTGAAGACACGCCGCGCAGATGAGGGCGGGCCGGGGCGTGGCCAAGAAAAAGCCGGGGAGGGGAAGGGGGAGAGGAGGAAGGAAAAGGATGTGGAAGGGGAGGAGTGGGGGGAGAGTTGGAGGAGGGGTGGGAGGGGAGAGGAGGAGGAGGGGTGGTAAGGGGAAGGAGGAGGGGGAGGAGGGGGAGTAAGAGGTGGAGGAGGAGTGGTGGGAGGGGGAGGGAGAGGGAGGGTAAGCTTGGGAAAGGGATGCCAAGGGCAAGGGCTGACAGCGAGCTCAGGTGCACAGTAGCTGGTCACTGCGTAGCTATGAGCTCAGGACTCCGGAATCCACACCCGTGGGACCGCTGGGCCAGGACGGGTCCCCCGGAGATCGAGCCCGTTTCCTCAAGAGTGGCCCACGGATGCACCCACAGGTCTGCTCCAGCCCTCGTCCGCGGTCACGTGGAATGTGAGTCTCCAGGGCTGCGGACACAACCCTTGGAAAGGCCCGGCTATTTTGATTTTTCTTTTCTTTTCTTTGATTTATGTATTTGAAAGGCTGTGTGAGAGAGGGGAGTCGGTGCATCTTCTCTCCGCTGGGTCACTCCCCCAGTGGCTGTAACAAGCTGGGAGCCTGCGGCGGCACCAGGGTCTCCTCCTGAGGTGGTGCTTGGCTGCTCTCCCAGGCGGATCAGCCAGGATCCAGCCAGTGCCCGCGTGAAGGCTGCGGCTTAACCTGCTGTGCCACGACGCCGCCCCAGTCCCGGGTCCTTTGACAGACTTAAAGGAAAGCTCAGTGAATTACCAGCTGGTGATTTGAAGCCTGGTAGTGATGAATGTTGATGCCTGAAGAAGAGACAGGATGCTTGCACAGGCCAGCTCCCCCCGAGTATTAACTGCACTGGTGGTTTTAACTTGCTCATCAGGGAGTCTGGGCTACACTTACTGGTTTGCTTCTGGTAAACAAGGTTTTGTAGCAGGTCGTGGACTAGGACTGGGCCCCTGCTACTGGACCCGGCCGATTAGTAGGTTGCTGGATTCCCTCTAGCTCTGACCAATTAAGTAGTTAAATTATAACCGATTGGGCCAGCGCTGTGGCGCATTGGGTTAAAACCCTGGCCTGAAGTGCCGGCATCCCATATGGATGCAGGTTTGAGTCCTGGCTGCTCCTCTTCCAGTCCAGCTCTCTGCTATGGCCTAGGATAGCAATAGAAATGGCCCAGTTCTTGGGCCCCTGCACCTGCGTGGGAGACTCCGAAGATGCTCCTGGCTCCTGGCTTCAGATCAGCACAACTCTGGCCATTGCGGTCATCTGGGGAGTGCACTAGTGGATGGAAGACCTCTCTCTCTGTTTCTACCTCTCTTTCTGTCTTTCAAATAAATAAAATAAATCTTTTAAAAAATTATAATCGATTGATTGACTAGGCTGAAGCCAGCTAAGGTGTTTTTTATGCCTCACTTCCATCTTGAATGAGTGCTGTCATCACATTGTGGGTTGGAGGTCTCAGAACCAGCTCTCATTCTGCACATAAAGTCTGTAAACTCTGTGTGACATAATTCCCTGAAGAATTTCACTTTCTAACTTGTGTATTCAAGAGGCTCTGGCAAAGATCTTCCCATCCTGTTGGAAGCCGCCACTCGCCTGGCTCCTAGCTTTCTTCTGCTTTCCTACCTGCTGGACTGCCCACCTGCTCTGCCTCACGTCCATATCCGTTACATCAGAGCCCACGTAAAGTCACTGTCTCTCCTGCAAAAGCTTTTTTCACGCAGTTTTCGTGCCAGCACGTGGGATCCGGCGGTCCTCAGTTACTAACTAAAATGGTTTCTTGTGGACCCATGGGGCGCACAATCCCATTTGGCCATTCAGGGAGTGGACTGTGGGGTCGATCTCTTTCTCTTCCTCTCTTTTATGCTGCCTTTCAAATCAATCTTTTTAAAGACTTATTTATTTGAAAGGTAGACTTAGATACGGAGATCTTCCGTCCACTGTTTCACTCCCACAGATGGCTGCAATGGCCAGAGCTGGGCCACGCTGAAGCCAGGAACCAGGAGCTTCATCTGGGTCTCTATGTGGGTGCAGGGTCCCCAGCACGCAGGCCATCTTCTGCTGCCAGGCAGGCACCTTAGCAGGGAGCCAGGTCAGACGTGGAGCAGCCAGGACTCCGAATCAGAGCCCATTTGGGATCTGGCATCTCAGATACAGACTTAATCTGCTGCACCACATCGACCCTAATAAAGTAAATCTTCTAAAAAACATGTTCAAAAGCAAACCAATGCCCCACTTCTTGGTCAGTTTGTTTTTTGCCTATCTACTTATTTTTTTAGGATTTATTTATTTATTTGAAAGGCAGATTTACAGAGATGCAAAAGAGAGAGAGAGAGAGAGAAGCCTTCTAGGGGCCAGTGCTGTGGTGCAGTGGGTTAATGCCCTGGCCTGAAGCGCCGGCATCCCATATGGGCACAGGTTCAAGACCTGGCTGCTCCACTTCCGATCCAGCTCTCTGCTATGGTCTGGGAAAGCAGTAGAAGATGGCCCAAGTCCTTGGGCCCCTGCACCCACGTGGGAGACCCAGAAGAAGCTCTTGGCTCCTGGCTTTGGATTGGCACAGCTCCGGTTGTTGCGGCCGTCTGGAGAGTGAACCATAGGATGAAAGGCCTCTCTCTCTCTCTGCCTCTCATCTCTTTGTGTAACTCTGACTTTCAAATAAATAAATAAAAATAAATATTTAAATAAAAACCATCACTCTCATTTAAAAAAAGAAAGAGGAGCCTTCCATCTGCTGATTCACTCCCCAAATGGCCGCAACAGCAAGAGTTGCACCGATCTGAAGCCAGGATCCAGGAGGTCCTTCTGGGTTTCCCATGCAGGTGCAGGGGCCCAAGGAGCTGGGCCATCTTCTACTGCTTTCCCAGGCCACAGCAGAGAGCTGGATTGGAAGAGGAGCAGCCGGGACTTGAACTGGTGCCCTTATGGGATGCTGGCACTTCTGGCAGCAGCTTTACCCACTACACCACAGCACTGTCCTGCCTCTATTTCTTTTCTTGAGCTATCTTCTCTGTCTTGAACAACACATGTTTTTTTTTTTTGTTTGTTTGTTTTTTTTAAAAAAAAAAAGAAGAAGGCAAAACAGTATTATAGCTGCTGTCTCATCCCATAGGATTTAATTATTTTGGATGAAGTTAATAAATATAAGAAACAATTTTTTTTTAGCTGATGGATCTACTTGAGAAGAATAAAAGGAACATTAAAAACACCCCCGCAGCAGGTGTTTAGGCCAGCATGGTCCCACCGTGGAGTGCTGGCCAGCCGACAAGTTGGGATCAGCAACACTGTTGTGCTGATCCTGTGCCTCTGCCTGGGATGGCTCATCCTCAACCTCGGAGGACAGGAAGGAAGCTGCCGCGCTCCAGGTGAAGAATCAAGATCTAGAGTGCACAGGAGGCAGAAGAGTTGTGGGTCGAAGGCCCTAGTGGAGATGAATGGGACATCCTGTTAACAGACAGTCGCTCGTGATTGAATGGCATTGCCAGCTGGCTCTCAGCCATAGCAGAGTGGTGACGCCATGCAGTTCCTCTGGGGTTTGAGGTCCCCCAGCCTCGGGCTGGAGGAGTGGAGGTGCCAGAGCACACGCTGCAAAGTACTCCCACAGAAAACTCTCCCCTACCAGTGGGATGCAATGGCCCCTCCCACTGCCGAAGGTTGATCTGCTTCAGCTGCCATCTTGGAGAAAAGGGGGAAGAAGTCGTGCTGCGTCCCCCCTCCCAGTCAGATTAGTGTAATCGATGAGTGAATCAGAGTGTGGCAAAGTTCATCAGGCCTGAAGGGCATTTGATTAAGGAGCTGACCTTGGGGATCACCTTTTTTTTTTTTTTTTTTTTTTTTTTTTGGACAGGCAGAGTTAGGCAGTGAGAGAGAGAGACAGAGAGAAAGGTCTTCCTTCTGTTGGTTCACCACAAAAATGGCTACTATGGCCGGCACACTGCGCCAATTCGAAGCCAGGTGCTTCTCCTGGTCTCCCATGCGGGTGCAGGGCGCAAGGACTTGGGCCATCCTCCACTGCCTTCCCGGGCCACAGCAGAAAGCTGGACTGGAAGAGGAGCAACCGGGACAGAATACGGTGCCCTGACTGAGACTAGAACCTGGGGTGCCCATGCCACAGGCAGAGGGTTAGCCAGGTGAGCCGCGGTGCTGGCCAGGGATCACCTTTGTGATGCTGTGGGTAAAGAAAGCCACTAATAGGGCACATGTGGGCACCTGTTCATGCCCTAGTTGCTCCACTTCCCATCTAGCTCCCTGCTAAGGGCCTAGAAAAGCAGTGGAAAGTGGCCAGAGTGCTTGGGCTCCTGCTACCTGCGTGGGAGACCTGGATGGAGATCCTGGCTCCTGGCTTTGGCCTGGCTCAGCCCTGTCTGCTACGGACATCTGGGCGAGTGAGCCAGCAGTAACCATATACTTTTTCCAAATCGCCAAGAATAAATTTCAAATGTTCTCACTGGGGGTCATTGTATTCTGTTTTCTTTCAAGAATTTTTCCATCCTCTCTCTCTTTCTACCTACCTAGCTATCTCTCTACCTCACATGCTTATATCTATGTGTATTTTTTTAAGATTTATTTATTTTATTTGAAAGGCAGAATTACAGAGAGGCAGAAAGAGGTCTTCCATCCACTGGTTCACTCCCTAGATGGCCTCAAAGGCCAGAGCTGCACCAGTCTGAAGCTAGGAGCCACGAGCTTCCTCTAGGTCTCCCATGTGGGTGCAGGGGCCCAAGGACTTGGACCATCCTCCACTGCTTCCCCCAGACCACAGCAGAGAGCAGGATCAGAAATGGGGCAGCCAGGACTCGAACCAGCACCCATATGGGATGCCGGTGCTTCAGGTGAGGACTTTAACCTGCTGCGCCATATCTCAGGTATTATGAGTTGAGATGCACTAACCATGAGAGTACAGATAACTCTTTCATATGCTGATTTCATTCCCTTTGGGTAAATGTCCAGGAATGGATGGCTGGATCATATAATATATCTATTTTCTGCTTTATGAGGTATCTCCATACTGTGTTCAACAATGGCTGTACTAGTTTACATTCCCACCAACAGTTGATTAGGGTACCTTTTTCCCCATATCCTAGCCAGCATTTATTGTTTGTTGATTTCTGAATGAGAGCTATTCTAACTGGAATTAGGTGAAACCTCATTGTGGCTTTGATTTGCACTTCCCTGATGGTTGGTGATCCTGAGCATTTCCTCATGTGTCTTTTGGCCATTTGAATTTCCTCTTTCGAAAATGCCTGTTCAAGTCCTTTGCCCATTTCTTAACTGGATTGTTTATTTTGTTTTGTTGAGTTTCTTGAGCTCTTTAAAGATTCTGGGGAGAATGATGTGGATATATTAGGAAATAGCTACTTTCTGGCTTCACCAAGCCAAAAGCATGAGATTTTCTTGGTTCTTCACTGGTGGCAATCCTGCAGGTAGAAACTACTAAATCTTGGGGGTCCCTAAGACTATGGCTCTGGATTTTTCTTATTCTTTGCTAGTCCATTCTTGGTTTCCACCATCTTGTCAAAATAACCTTTTAAGTATTTCTACCACTTTATTGCTACAGCAGCTACTGCTTCAAGTGAGTAGATCTCGGTTGTGCCTCTCTGGACTTGTGGATATTTCTAAATTTCAGGTGAAAATTTTTGTGAAACCTGAACTCTTTGATAGGTTCAAAAATAATTAATTATAAGGAATTTTCCCTCCTTTTCCCCCTTTGTGATAAGAACAAAAGCCCAAACTTTACATGTTAGGGCTGAACATAAAGTCTTGTCTCTGTGGAAAAGTTAATGTGTTTTCACTCATTTGTGGAAACTAAGATGCTTATCCTACAGAAGAGATTGGAATAGTGGTCACCTGAGATTGGAAAAGGGTCAGGGGATGGAAACAGGATAGATAAGGGGCTCCAGAACCCAGTTAGACAAGAGGAATTAATTCTATTGTTCTGTAACCTAGGAAGATAACCACAGTCTGCAGCAACCTGTGACTGTGAGAAGTGAGAAGTTTGCCAGTGCATACAAATGGTTACTATTTGAGGAGCTGGAAATGCTAATTACCCTGACTTGATTACTACATATAACAATCTATGATACTGTGCCCCACAAATATGTGCAAAGAGTATGCATATTTATAATGTGGCAATAAAAACAGCTGATGTCATAAAAAGGTGAATAGAAGACTGTGTTTGAAGAAAAGAGCAATAACATAAATGCTCTCAAATGGAATTTCTGTTATTTATTGGATATTTATCTGAACACATATTTATAGAGATACCATATATTTAGTATACAAAGTGAAAATGCTTTACTATGAACTTGTAATTAGATGATATTAAGGAAATTAAGTGTTGCTCCCCCTCTTCGTGGAGGAACGACACAGGACCCTGCGCTGTTCTTTTGCCTGCTCGGCCCTCCCCGGGTTTGCTGCTGGTTCTTCCCGGGTTGGCTACCGTCCCTTCCACCTCCATGGAAGGGCGGTTCCCCCTGCCACTTTCCCCACTTCCGCGGGGGAGCGGCACACTGCCGGCCGGCTCTCTCAGGGGCTGCACAGGTGTTATTCGGATAGATGTTCCCCTTAGATGTTCCTGGTGCATGTTGTCTCTCTCCTCCTTTATAGTCCTCTTCCACCAATCCCAACTCTGCTACCCACACGCCGAGTACGCTGCTCTCCTCCAATCAGGAGCAGGTCCTACAGTTTATTGGTTGAATTGGAGGCAGCTGTGTAGAAGCTGTTTCCTCCTCTCCCAGCGCCATATTGTGGGAGAGCAGATGCACAGAATAAGTCTTAATTCCAGTAACTTAGTCTAGTCCGAGTTGCTCCCAGTTGCTCCCCACAATTAAGGATAGTAAGGAAATACTGTTGTATTTTTATACTGTAATAGTTTCAGTTGTTGTATTTGAGACTGCTAATATTGTTAGAAATGCATACTGAGAAGGACAAAATATCATGGCACCTATAATTTACTTTAGAAACCTAGAACTAAAGAAAGTAGATATGGAGAAATATAAATTAAATTATCAAATCCAAATAATATATATAAATGCATGAGCATTAGACCAGAGTACCTAATTTTCTAAATTTTAAAACTTTTTCATAATAAAACTTGAAAATAAATAAAAATGAACTTAACATGCAATGTTACTGGGTATTTACAGGTGCATATGGGACCATTTAAGGTACAATGCATGACACATGAAAGGTGCTCTGTAAGTGCTGCACAGTATTATCTCCAAACTGAGAATGCTGTATTCTAGGGCGAGGATTGTGTATTCACTTAGAATAAATAATGTAGTCCTCTGGAATTAGTTTCACTTCACCTACTACTCATCAGTTTAGAGTAATGAAGGGTAAATCAATGTTGCTTGTCAAATGCATGCTATTAGCATGAATGCAGCATATGTTAATGCTGTTACAGGTCAGTGATGACACCTAGAACACCATCCCAGCTGTGACTTTCCTTGCATTTGGTGGACATCCACTTGGTGATTGATGTTTTTTGAGGGATTGGCAAATCAGCAAAATTTCTATTTTCCGTGCTTCAGAGAAAGTTTCAGTCCATGAAGATATGTACTAAGTAGGCTAACATGTCTTCAGTATATAAATAATTTGCAAATATGTCTTCTTCACACTCCATTAAACTATTTGAAAATTCTGCATCCTGTGGCCATGCATTACTTTCAGAATCAATGAGAATCTAAAAATCATCTCACATAAATCCCTTCTTTCAAAGACGATGAAACTGAAGCTCACAGAAATAAAAGGACTGTCCAGACCAGAAAATAGGACTCATAGCTTTCACTTCCATGTCTGCATAGGTAACATCTACCAAGGATGCTTCATGTAAATTTTTAAATGGACGTCAACTCATCACTTCAAAATTACTTTGTACTTTCTCTCAGATAATTTGGGCTCAAACATAAATTTATGAATTACTTACCATATACCAAGCCATAAAGATGTTACGAGAAATGAATAGTTTCTTGCCCTTAGCCAGCTTACAGGATTCAATGATAAACATGTATACTGCACGATGCGGAGACTTCAAAAAAGAAAATAAGACCATAGGTGTCATAGACAAAATGGAATTGATCTGAATCATGAAGGTAACAAGTCTGAATTTACTGGAAGACTTTGGAGTGGCAGGAAATAGCACGAGCAGTGGAACTGAAATATGAAAGGGCTTGATACCCTTATGGCCGTGTGTCAGGATCGTCAGACAACTTCAAAAAAGTACTGATGTCCAGCTCACACTTGCAGACCAAATTATATCTGGTATCTGAGGGTGGCTGCCAGCTTGGGAATGTCAGGAGCACTTGGCTGATCCCTACATGCAAAGGCAAGCACCAGTGAATTCAGATGGGGTTACCATGACAAGTAATGAATTAGGCCAATAGTCACCTGCATCACGCTAATCAGGTGCAGGATAAGATCTTGAAGATTAAATGACTTTCTTATTTCTAGTCAAGTAGTTCCAATCAGAAGACAACAATTTTATCTGATGACTCAAGAACATAGGTTTTGCTGAAACTATTAAGTATAGTTATTAAGACCATTCGTAACTCTAGGTGATAAAGTAAACACCAGAATCAGGGTAAGAAACTCAGACTTAAAATAATGAATTTCTCCATGATTATCTTCCACTGGAAGATGAGCATATTTCAAAACATCCATGGAAAATAGAACAAAAGACTATTTTGCTGTGAAATGTTGAACCCCAAATTTTAGAAGACAATAGGTCATGTAAAATGGGTATTAAGCAAAAGCAATGAATGGATTTCAAGATTTTTACACCAAAATATACTTGTCTTTTAATTCTGCTTTTTGCATGAACTCTTTGTAATACTTTCACGTTTACTGATACCCATGTTAAAGAAAACCCAACGTGAGACATTTTCAACTTACCTGGATTTACCAAATTCTCACATTACAATTCTAACCTAAGAGTTTCCAGCATTGTTTTAATTAGATCATTGCCTTCCTCATTCATTCAGTAAACATTTATTTCCCATCTGCTGTGTTCCAGGCACTGTCCTGGGCTCTGAGTGGGAAGACTGCTCAAGTTTCTGCACTCCCAGTGTCCAGATGATTTCTTTCTTTCAGTTCAGCTCTGCATTCTAACTCCAACTTCTAATTCTTTAAATAATCCGAACAATAGCAGATTTTGAGTTTGATTAAAATATGCAGTCCTTTTTCTGCTCCAACTCTTTGGTAAGAATTACCCCAATTCTATGCCACTCCCAGTTCAAAGATCTCCAACACTTCCCTCAGTGTTTATAGCAGGGAAGCTCCTGTCATTTTTGAATCCTCCTGTCCATTCCTGCCTTTCTGAAGAGCTCTCCTGTGCAGCCCCTGTTGCATATATAAAGATGCCCTTGTTGTATTACGATGGAAACTAAACTCCCTTACACTCACTGCGGCCGTGCCTGCTGCCGTCTGTCTGCCTCTGAGGCAGGAACATTGGTGCACCTGGTTGTTGATGAATCTTCCACATACCTGGTTCAATGTCTTTGCTCATCCTGTTACCCCCACCTGAGGGCCCCCATACTTTTTGTCTCTTCCAATCTTCAGCAGTGAGTTTTCTTGGAATGTCTCTCATCTCATAGTTTTCATCTCAACTTCAAAAGTAAATGGTTTTCTGAGGGATGGAGGCTTTATGCCAATAAAGGTGTTGTGTTATCTGTGGCTGTGGAAGTAATGAGCACACATAGGCAGCATAGAATGAAAGCAAGACCTCTGGATGTAGTAGTTCATAGACCTTGGTTTAAATCCAACAGCAAACATCATCAAAATTATGTGTCTTTTCTCTTTTTTTTTTTTTTATTTGACAGGTAGAGATATAGACAGAGAGAGAAACAGAGAAAAAGGTCTTCCTTCCATTGGTTCACTCCTCAAATGGCCACCACGACCAGCGCTACACCGATCTGAAGCCAGGAGCCAGGTGCTTCTTCCTGGTCACCCATGTGGGGTGCAGGGGCCCAAGCATCTGGGTCATCCTCCACTGCCCTCGTGGGCCACAGCAGAGAGATGGAAGAGGAGCAATCGGGACTAGAACCAGCATCCATATGGGATGCCGGCACCGCAGGCGGAGGTTGAGCCAAGTGAGCCACAGCGCCTGTCTGCTTCTTTGCTCTAAAATCAGAGCTCTAGATCTCATCTTTCAGTCACCTAAGAATAAAACTAAACTACGAGCCCTCTAACAAAAATCTCTGAGGCTGTTAACTTGACAACAGTGGAACACATTAGTGAGGAGATTCACTAAATAATTCAGTAGGTAGAGAAAAAGAAATAAATGGATTTTAAGTGCTAGAAAGGAGGAGTTGAGGTGGTTATTCTTGTTAAGCATGGATAATTGGCATCATGCATAGAACAGAATGGGCTGTGTCTAACACAATTAGTAGAAAAAATCCAGTTTTTTATGTTAGAACAATGTCTCATTTAAGTTCAGTACAGGTATAGAATATTGGTGTGATTCAAAGTTCATGTCTTCTTTCTGCTTCAGATTGGTAGAGTCAGTTACTACTGAAATACTGGTATTTTCTGGAAATGCACTGCCTTAAGTGAAAAAGTTCCTTATAAAGAGTTGTTTTGTGTTCAGAAATGTAAATATACACATGTTCTAACATATAATAATCACTTAATAGTAATATATGTATCATCCTTATTAAGTGAGAAGTATTTGCTCATTGATTAATTCTTAGATTCCAAAAGTCATTTCTTGGATTTTGATTATTTTGGGAAAATTTCAAGAGTAGGGAGAATTAATCTAACAAATATTATATTAGGGAACTGCTTGACTGATTTGCAACCCTCAAATATATTTAACTGTTAATTCCCACTACCTCAGATTATGATAATATTTGGATATTAGATCTTTAAAGAAATAATTAAGACAAAATGGGAGGATAGGGGTAACATGATACAAATAGTTTTCCTATGAGAAGAGAGGATTAAGACACAGATACACAAAGGGGAAGGACCACATGAAGACAGCAGAATGGTGACCATCTCTAAACCATGCACAAGGATATCAGAAATAATCAAACTTCCCAACACCTCGATACTGACTTCTGACCTTAGAATTTTGAGAATATAAATTTCTGTCGCAACTGTATAGTCTATTATTACTTTCTTAATTAGCCCTTGGAAACAGATATGCAGGGACTATTGCATACTGTATGTATGTATATACAGTTCTTTAATTATGTCCTATAGCTAATATCCCATACTACAGATTAGGAAACTGGGCTTAGAACAATTAAGTAAATTGACTTCCTTGTTTATAGCATTGTAAATCCTGGAAATGTCATTGATTCTTTTGGATATGTCATTGAATCTTTAGGATCAGGGTCCAGACCAAGATGAGGTCAGTTATGCTCTTGCCTCATACTCAGAATTGAAGAAGAATGAATTTATTCAGCAATAAAGATTAATGACTTATGGAAATATTATTTGAATTCAACTTATGTTGAGATAATTGTAGATTGCCCCACATTTCTAAGAAATAATGCATAGCAATTACATGCAACCTATTCATTTTCCCCTAAGAATGACACCTCCCCAAATCACCACACACTGTTATTCCAGAATATTGACACTGATAGAGTCAAGATGTATAACATTTGCATCAACACAAGGGTGAGTTCTGACTCCTTTTTATAGCCATACTCATTTCTACTCCCTTACCCCTACTCCAACTATTTAGCCATGGAAACCAATAATAATTATACAGAGACTCATGCAGCTTGCTTGCCTGTTAATAGGATTTTTACCATTATATTCTTTAGGAAGATCCTGTGATGTGGACATACCAATTTGCTTACCAATTTTTTTTTCATTAAAGGATTTGTAGATAATTCAGATTGAGGCTTTTAGAATAAAGTTTTTATAAACTAAGTATTGTTGCTAAGAACATATACTGGTGGAAGGATAATCTTTTCAATAAGAGATGCTTAACTTCACATATATTTATGCAAAACTTCACATATATATTTAAAACACTGAAATTAGATCCCTACCTCTGTATATACAAAAAGCAACTCAAGATGGGTTTAGTACATAACTGTAACACCTGAAACTATGAAATTTCTAAAAGAAAACATAGGAGAAACACTTCAAAACACTGGTGTAAGCAGTGGCTTCTTAGATAAGACTTCAAAAGCACAGACAGCAAAAACAAAACCAGACAAATGGAATTGCATCAAACTCCAAAGCTTCTGCAAAGCAAAGAAAATAATAGAATGAAGAGACATTTGACAGAGTGGAAGAAAATATCTGCAAGCTACTTATCTGACAAAAGGTTAATATCAATAATATATCAGGAACTCAAAAACTCAGTACCAAAAAGCAATCAATCCAGTGAACAAATGAACAAAGACCTCAAAAGAGGAAATATAAATGTCCAGCAAATATATGAAAAGACAATATCACTAGTCACCGGGGAAAAGCAAATCAAACTAGACTGGAAATATCACACCACCCCTGTTAGAAAGACTAGTATCAAAAGTTACAAATGCTAGCACAGATATGGGAAAAGGGGAACTCTACACTGCTGGTGGAATGTAAAATAGTAAGCCTCTCTGGAAAACAGTATGAAAATTTCTTTAAAAACTAGAAACAGAACTGCCACGTGATCAAGCATTACTGGATATCTATCCAAAAGGCACGAACTCATGTAATCAAAAGGGATGCCTGCTGCACCATGTTTGTCACAGCACCATTCACAATAGCAAGGAATCAACCGAGCTGGGAGCTGGATTAGAAGTGACCCTGTGAATTGCTTTTGGTAGTATGAACATTTGATGATATTAATCTTTCCAATCCACGAGTAAGGAAGACTTGCTCCACTTTTTGTGTCTTCTTCTATTTCTTTCTTTAATGCTTTATAATTTTCGTTGTAGAGGTCTTTCAGCTCCTTGGTTAAACTTATCCCAAAATATTCAAATTTTTTGTAACTATTCTGAATGGGACTGATCATGTAAGTTCTTCATTAGTCTTGGCATTGTCTTTGTATACAAATGCTATTTGTTTTTGTGTGTTGATTTTATACCCTTCAGCTTTACCAAACTCTCATGAGTTCCAAAACACTATGAATGGAATCTTTCTCCTATATCTAGGATCATGTCATCTGCAAACAGGGATAATTTAATTCCCTGCTTTCCAATTTGCATCCCTTTAATTTATTTATTTTTATTTATTTATTTATTTATTTATTGACAGGCAGAGTGGACAGTGAGAGGGAGAGACAGAGAGAAAGGTCTTCCTTTACCTTTGGTTCACCCCCCAGTGGCCGCTGCAGCCGGCGCACCACACTGATCCGATGGCAGGAGCCAGGTGCTTCTCCTGGTCTCCCATGGGTGCAGGGCCCAAGGACTTGAGCCATCCTCCACTGCACTCCCTGGCCATAGCAGAGAGCTGGCCTGGAAGAGGGGCAACCGGGACTAGAACCCGGTGTGCTGGCGCCGCAAGGCGGAGGATTAGCCTATTGAGCCACGGTGCCGGCTTGATTTATTTTTCTTGACTAATGGCTCTGGCTAACTCTTTCAGAACTATAGTAAATATCAATGGTGAGAGTGGGAATCCTTGTCTGGTTCTGGATCTTATTCAATATGCTGCCAACTTTTCCCCATTCAATATGATGCTGTCTCTGTATTTGTCATAAATTGCCTTGATTGTGTTGAGGAATGTTCTTTCTATACCCAATTTGATTAAGGTTTTTGTCATGAAAGGATACTGTGCTTTATCAAATGCTTTCTCTGCATCTATTGATAATCATATGGCTTTTGGTCTTCTGCTTGTTAAGGTGGTTAATCACATTTATTGATTTTCAGATGTTGAACCATGCCTGCAGGCCAGGGATAAATCCCAGTTGGTCCCGGTGAATAATCTTTCTGATGTGTTGCTAAGTTCATGGTATTTTATTGAGGATTTTGGCATCTATGCTCATCAAGAATATTATCCTGTAATTCTCTGTTATACCTCTTTCTGGTTTTGAAACTAAGGTGACACTGGTCTTATAGAAGGAGTTTGGGAGGATTCTCTCCCTTTCAATTGTTTTGAATAGTTGGAGAAGGATCAGAATTAGTTCTAAAAGTCTGGTAGAATTTAGCACTGAAGCTATCCAGACCTGGGCTTTTTACAAAGGTCTTTAATATTCATTATCCATTTGATTATTGGTATGTTTAGGTTTTCAGTGTCATTGTGCCTCAATTTTGGTTCACTGTAAATGTCCAGAAATCTATCCATTTCTTCTAGATTTTGCAGTTTGTTGGCATATAGCTATTTGTGGTACTTCCTGATGAATCTTGCTATGGCTGTGGTATCTGTTGTTACATCTTCTTTTTCATCTCTGATTTTATTTATTTGGTTCTTCTCCCTGTTTTGTTTGTTAGTTTTGGTTAGTTGGGCTCATGGTATATCAATTTTGTTTATTTTTTAAAAAACAGCTCTTCATTTCACTGATCTTTTGTATTTTTGTTTCAATTTTATTTATTCTCTAATTTTAATTCTTTCCTCCTACTAATTAGAGGTTTGGTTTGCTTTGGATTTCTAGGTCCTTGACATGCATTGTTAGATAATTTATTTGAAGTTTTTGCTATATCCCATAAGTTTTTATATGTTGTATTGTTTTCTTCATTCATTTCTAGCAATTTTTTTTTTTTGACAGGCAGAGTGGACAGTGAGAGAGAGAGACAGAGAGAAAGGTTTTGCCGTCGGTTCACTCTCCAATGGCCGCTGTGGCCAGCACGCTGCTGCCAGCACACCACGCCGATCCAAAGCCAGGAGCCAGGTGCTTCTCCTGGTCTCCCATGGGGTGCAGGGCCCAAGCACTTGGGCCATCCTCCACTGCACTCCCTGGCCACAGCAGAGGGCTGGCCTGGAAGAGGGGCAACCAGGACAGAATCCGGTGCCCCGACCGGGACTAGAACCCGGTGTGCCGGCGCCGCAGGTGGAGGATTAGCCTATTGAGCCACGGCACTGGCCTTCTAGCAATTTTTTAATTTCACTTTTGATTTTTTTTCATTAAAGAGCACTGTTCATTCAAGTTCATTCATGTCAGTTACATATCATTTTAGTTACAATAGTTCTAGTTATCTTGAAATCTGGTATTGTGATGCCTCTAGTTTTGTTCTTTTTGTTTAGGATTTCCTTAACCATTTGAGGTCTCTTATGTTTTCAAACGAATTTTATGATTTTTTTTCTAGTTCTGTGAATACTGGCAATGGTATTTGGATTGGGATTTCATTACACCTGTAAATTACATTAGATAGTCTCCATGTGTTTGCATATTTTCCGGACTTTCTTAAGTTGCTAATTTCCAGCTTCATTTTGTTTGTCAGAAAAGGAACACGTATGATTTGAATTTTTTTTAATTTGTTGAGACTTGCTTTATAGCCTAGTATATAGTCTATCTTAGAGAAAGTTCCATGTACTGATGAAAAGAATGTGTATTCTGAAGCTGTGGGATGAAATGTTCTGTAAACGCCAATTAGAGCCATTTGCTCCACAATGTAGTTAAGCTCTGTTGTTTCTTTGTTGATTTTTTTTTTGTTTACTTCATATGTCCATTAATGAATCTGGGATGTTGAAGCCCCCATTATTATTGTCTTGGAGCCTGTCTCCCTTTAAATTCATTAACATTTGTTTGACATAGCCAGGCACCCTGGCATTAGGTGCCTATACATTTGCTATAGTCATTGCTTCCTGTTGAATTGACACTTTAATCATTATATAATGCCTTTTTGAGTCTTTTGACAGTTTTCTTTATAAACGTAATTTTTTATTTATTTGAAAGGCAGAGTTACAGAAAGAGTTAGTATGAAAGAGAGAGTGAGATCTTCCTTCTCTGCTGGTTCACTCCCCAAATGGCTACAGTGGCCAGGGCTGAGCCAGACTAAAGCCAGGAGCAAAGAGCCAGGAGCTTCTTCCAGGTTTCCCATGTGGGTGCAGGAACCCAAGGACTTGGCCATCTCCCTCTGCTTTCCCAGGCACATTAGCAGGACGCTGGATCAGAAGTGGAGCATTCAGGACTTAAATCAGCACCCATATGAGATGCTGGTGTCACAGGCAGCAGTAGCGTTACCTACTACATTACAGTGCCTTGCCCTCTTTTAAAGAGTTTATTTATTTATTTATTTATTGGTTAGAGTCTTATTTTGTCTGATATTAGGAGGTCTACTCCTGTTCATTTTTGCTTTGTGTTAGCATGGGATATCTTTTCTATTCTTCCACATTTAGTCTATGTGTATCTTTGTTGGTGAGGTGTGTCTCTTCTATACAACACATAGATGAGTCTTGGTTTTTAATCCATTCAGCCAATATGTATCTTTTAATTGGAGAATTTAGGGATTTACATTCAAGGTTCTTATTGATAAGTGATGACTTGGTCCTGCCATTTTTCTATACATATTCCTAGTGTCTGTTTTGGATTTCCTTTGTACTTTTACAGATTTTCTACCTTCATATTCTCTTATGAGGATGAATGCCTTTCTCTGTTTCTGGGTGTATCACTTCCTTAATCTTTGATTCATTTGGAGTTCATTTTTAAATACATGATGGGGGGTTTTAATCTTATGCATATGGATATCTAATTTTCCTAGTGCCATTTATTGAAATGGATTTCCTTAGTCTACTGTATGATTTAGCACCTTTGTCAAAAATCAGTTATCTATAGACATGTGGTTTCATTTTTGAGGTATCTATTGTGTTCCACTAGTCTGTATGTTTGTTTTCATGTCAGTTATTTATCATTTTAGTTACAATAGTTCTATAGTGTAACTTGAAATCTGGTATTGTGATGCCTCCAGTTTTGTTCTTTTTGTTATGGATTGCCTTAACTATTTGAGGTCACTTGTGTTTTCAAATGAATTTTATGATTGTTTTTTCTGTGAATACTGGCATTGATATTTGGATTGGGATTTCATTACATCTGTAAATTACATTAGATAGTCTGTATATTTAATATTAAGTTTCTCAATCCAGAATCATGAGAAGTCTTTCTAATTTTTTTTGTTAGGCCCTTTAATTAGCATTTTGTAATTTTTATTGTAAAAGTCTTCCACATCTTTGCTTAAATTTATTTCAAGTTACTTTATTTTTCTTGTAGATATTGTGACTGGGATTCCTGTTATAATTATTCCTCAGCAAGTTCATTAATGATGTGTAAAATATTGTGATTTTTGTGTGTTTATTTTGTATCCTGCTACTTTGTTGAATTTATCAGTTCTAATAGCCTCTTGGTGGAATATGTCGGTTTCTCTATAGATATAATCATATCATCTGCAAACAGTAATAGCTTGACTTCTTCCTTCCCTACTTACATACCTTTTCTTTCTTTTTATTGCTGAATTGCTCCAGCTAAAACTTCCTACACTACATTGAGTAAGAGCAGTGACAGTGGACATACTTGGCTGGTTCCAGATCTCAGAATAAATATTTTCAACTTTTTCCCATTCAATATGATGCTGTCTGTAGGTCTGTCATATGCAGTCTATTATATTGAGCTATGTTCTTTCTATACCTAATTTTTTCAAGGTTTTAGTCATAGATGAATGTTGGATTTTATCAAATACTTTTTCTGCATCTATTAAGATGATCATATGATTTTTATCCTGATGTGATGCTTATATTTATTGGTTTCATATCTTGAACCATCACTGCACACCTGGGATAAATACTACTTGATTATAATGTATGATTTGTCATATGCTGTCAGATTTGATTTGCCAGTATTTTTGCTGAGAATTTTAGCAATTATGATCATGAGTGATATTGATCTATAGTTTT